AATGAATGGCAGAACTTGTCACTCCTATTTCCCTGTGTCACTTTTCTCTTTACCAGGTAAAATCATCTATTAACTCTGCAATAACACTTTATTCAGAGAGCTGAAGGCAATGTCTTTGGTTTTGGGTGGGGGTGGATTTTAAACATTACCAAAGGTAAAGCATACATGGAACTTATGTGTGTGTGTGTTGTGCTGACTCTTATTGTTCTTTAAGTGACAATATCCACAACAGTGCAGGTAGCATCAATCTTACTTAAGAGCAAAAAGATATGCTGTCAAATGTTTGAAGTACAAAATCTTATTTGAACTTTCTTCCCTTTCTTTCCAATGACTTAAATAGGCACCAGAAAGCTGGTTTTTAATCACACTCCTGCTCCTGCATTTTTCCAACCCAATTAGGCCATTACCAGGACTAAATGAGGCATAGAGCCTCCAAAAGTCACACCGTCGTCCCGGAGATGGAACGTGTAATGCCATGGACTAGGCGGGGAGGTGAGCTGGCTGATGCTCACTGAAGGGTGACATTCCAGCTTGTGCAGAAAGATCACCTTCACAGAGAGTAAAGTGTAAAAGATATTTGTGTTCTTGTTTTAAAACAAACTTTCAAAAACTGCATTGAGTGATTCTTAAGCAGAGTTGATGTCAGTAGTATTCATTAGTGAGGATAATAGTGTAGTTTCTAACCCTGCTTGAAATAATGATTGCAGTTAGAATCATAACTGACACTGCGCTTCTGAGTGCAGTAGAGATCCGTCTTTACAGAAGTCATAATTTTGATCATTGCGTTTGATAAAGTAGGCTATAGTCCATGAAAAGGTGTGCTAAAATAAAATACTTCCTTTTTTAAGGTGCAACAAACATCCTTTGGTTTTGACTACAGTAACTACAGTCATTTGCTAGGCACCCTGACAGTTGAATGGGCAGATAGTATGGGTTGCCATAGTACTGTACATTGTTGATTGAATTTTGTTTGAATTTTAAACATGCCAATCAGGGCCATTTAGCCATCAGTTATCCCAGATTCTATGTTTTCATTTTAAAAAGAGGGGGAAATCTTCAGCCCTTATAGAACCAGAAATAGATAGCAAAATATGAAGTGATTGTCTTGGCCATTTGTTCTCCAAGAAAACTTTTCTGTGTGATTCATCAATTAGTGGACCATCCACATTTTAAAAAGTGCTCATAGCTGTGTATATCTGGATAAATGTTACAGTTATGGAAATGTGCCTTGTGCCTTGCAGAGCAGCCTGTAAATAGTGCATAGAAAGCATTTGATGTACAGCAGCGAATGGTGACGGAGGGATTATGGGAGTTATAGTGCACAAAAGCAATTTTGCAAGTTCTGATATCACGTGCCTCACAGCATTTCCTGCTTTGGTAGGGGTTTGAATTTCATAAATATTGGGGCTTTTTGGAACTCGTGATTCTATAAGTCTGTGATTTTGTGGTCCTTCATAAACATCAGCTCCATTTTATCTTCTAGGAGCTTAACTGGGAGCTTAGGTAGGGGTTGCACTGAAGAAAAGAAAAAAACTGGTAAAAACAAGAGGGGAAGATAAATTATTAGCGTCTGCATGCTGTTGTTGAGGCTGAGCTTATGGTTGTTGCGAATACCCTATTTCTGGAAGGAGGCTTTAAAAACAATGATAATGAAATGGTAATCACATTTTAAAAGAACTAATTACTGTATTTTTCCATCTATAAGATGCTACTTTTTCCTAAAATCATTACCCTAAAAATTAAGGGGTGTCTTTTACACAGAAGTAAGCTGAGGATAGAACAAAATGGCACACACCTTGCCTCTGTAAATAGGCTTCCTTCAGCCACGAGGCTTAGTTTCCTACAGTCAGGGGACTTAGCTTCCTCCAATCACGAGCCTTATGAAACTGATGACAGCTGATCCTGAACAAACCAATTGGAACACACCTCCTTGGAGGTGGAGCCTGTAGGCTCAAAATTCAACAGAGACAAAATGTCCGACGTTCTGAGCTCAGAGACTCAAAGCTAAGCTTTCTTAATTTAGGGGGTTAGAAAATTGGGGGCATCTTATAAATGGGTGTGTGTTATAAATGGAAATATACGGTATGTGTGTATTTGTCTTAGGACTATGTATGGTCTCGGAAGTGCTTATTCACATTTATATTTTCCCAAAATCGATGGATAGCACACCTTCCTAAATGAGTACTGGAAATTGATATTTCTGTACTTATTAGGCAGTAGAGGTTGGGAAGTTACATTTTTGAACTACAGTTCCCAGAATCCCCCAACCAATGCTGTCTGCAGCTATTCTGACTAATGGATACTTAATGGGTGTCCTTTAGCAACTCGTTTGGGGAAGGTCAGTCTTCACCAAACATGGAGGGGTTGTAGAGGAGAGTCATGGGAACCTTCTCAGTGACTTTGGTGTCTCTAGGTACCTGGGGAAAACTTTACTGTGGAGTCCTCTTTGGGTGTATAACTCAGACATCTGAAACCCAATCTTCACCAAACATGGAGGGCTTGTAGAAAAATGTCAGAGAAATTTTCCTGGCAATTTTGGTGTTTCTGGGTGCCTTGTGAGCTGTTTTATAGCCAAATGAATCAACAAATCAAAAATTCCTAAAAATTCATTGATGCATAATTCCTCAGGGCATTGATTTGTATGATTTTATGAATTAGCAATCTTTGAATGAATTTGGTGATTCATTTTTCAATTTGTGCCAGTCTCTAGCAAGGAATGAATCAATACATCATCCGTACAATTTAAAACCACTCCCTTAGCAAGGAGTAAATAAACTGGAAATAAGCTGCTGGCCGAAAAAATGAGTCGGTCTTAATTGTGCTTGGGAATTTATGAAATTATCTAAAAAATGGCCAAATTGATATAACTGGGTTTCTTTTTCCAGGTAATTGAGCCCTAAGTCAGGATTCATAATTCAGTTTCCCTGTTCCAAATCCAACAATAACCATGATACTATCCTAGCTCTATCATATCAATAGTTACTGTCTATATGAGGCCAAGACTGAAACATACTGGTAGAAAAACAATGAGAAAAATGCTTAACATAAATAATATGAAAATTCACATCAATTATGCAATAAGGCTGCCTAATAGTAATTGGCACAATATACAAATCAGGCTGCCTGGAACTGGAGAACTGGAATATGCAGTTCTGCCACTGTTTCTTGGAAAGCTATTCAGTATTCAACCTACATTACTTTCTGGTCAGCCATAGATTAGTTTGAGAGCCAGTGAATCACACTATTTCTGTTCATCATAGCTTCTGAGTTTGTATAAAGCAAGTTCTTATGGACAGTTGTAGAAGGTGTTCTTTTTTATCTATTTCTATCTATTCTGTCAGTGGTCTGTTGCTTTTTAAAGAAAGATCACTGCTTATTTTTCAGAGTTATGTGTTTCTGTAAGCCATCTTAAACAGCTGGAGAATCATGATGACTAAAATACAGCATATGTTTATGAGTTTTTATCTGCCCTTTTAATTGTCTTTCTGCTTCCAAGAAGCACCCCAGATCCAGGGTCAGAACTGGCAGAGAATGTGGTGCTCTCTCATGACGTGGCCTAATACTTTAGCAAGCCACTTTTTTTCAGGCTCCATTCCTGATTTACAGGGTAATCATAAGTGTGTTTTGAGGCCAAAAATGATAAAGAATAGAGGAACATGCGTAGCTCAGATTGCTGGTGGTAAACTTTGATGCCTTGAATAGCTACGTATACAAATTTATCCACATACTGTATTGCGTTTCTCAGCGGAAGCTTTCCTCCAGTCTTCTCCACTCTCTGTGAAGTTAGGTGGGCGATGACTGACTGGGGAAAGTAATTTCTCTCACTTACGATATTTCTTATGTCAGATATCCTCCTTAGCCTGCCTTCAAGTTTACTGACTTTTTAGGAGCAATCAAAGACTGTCTCATTTGTCCCACCTTTACAGTATGTTTGTTAGCAAGCTTAAATGGTTATTTTGAATATTCTACCACATTTTATAGATCTACCATGTATTGCTGTTTCTGTAACAGTTAATATCTGTTTTATTTTATTCCTATTATTCTAGGGACCTATACATACATAAATTATTAAATAATGAAAAATTTTCTTCTTTAGAAAAACATTATAGAATAATTCAGAATTTGAGTTCCAGCAATACTGAGGAGCCTCAGCTTAGATTTACGTCTGTTGAGAAGAGCAAAAGGCTTCATAACTGAAAAATCTAGGTTCATAGTAAGGATAAAAATAAAGGGTGGAATAAATCTGAAAGCTGCATAGTGCATTTTCTGATATTCTTGGGATAGGTGACAGGTCACCAGGTAGAGAAAGCAGAGTTATTCTTTTTTTTTTAACATGAGGGGTGACAAAGGAAAAAGGGAGTTGGGATTTATGAGGAAGAGGGGAGACAATTACATACTAATATCCAATCTATACCTGTTGTGGTCTTAACCGACCAGATAGGCGGGATATTAAATAAATGAATGAATGAATGAATGAATGAATGAATGAATGAATGAATGAATGAATGAATGAAATTGCCATGTCAAATTTTGGGTCATTCTATTTATTCTTTTCTGCCTTGTATATAAAGTTCTCATTTCCATATATATTGTTCAGCTACTGCCTGTTGATTCAGTCCATTTGTTAAATAAGTCCCATCTTTCTGTTGCCTTTTGCAGGGGTTGATCTTTCATGACTTCTGATAAGATATCCATTTCGGCTATTTCCCGTATCTTTTCAATAAAATCTTCTTGTTCCGGTACCGTTGGACTTTTCCAATTTCTAGCATACATAATTCTGCCTGCCGTAATAATGTATATAACTATGTGTTCCTTTGACTTATCTATATTATCGGGTATCAGACTGAGTAAAAACAATTCTGGGATTAGTGGCACCTTACAGAGCAAAATTTGTTGTAACATAGCATGTACACTTTTCCAGTATTTTTTCGCTACGGGAAAGCAGAGTTATTCCTCTGCACACATGAGCAGATTCTCTTACATCTGTGTTTCATTTTTAGGAGGTCTGGAAGACATTTTCCATCTGATATGCTACTGGTCCTGAGGAAACAAGGAACTGCTCAGTCAGATACAGAGAATGCAGTGGAGAAGACCTCTAAGGAGATACCAGAGCCACAGCTGCTACTCCATGGCTTACCATATACCAAATATGGCCACCAAAGTCACAGTGTGCAATGTTCAGGAAATAAAAAGCTTGTTGAAGTTTATTAGGTCTATTTTTCTTAGATTTTGAAGTTTGCAATATCATCCCTTTGTGAAAAAGGAGGAACGATGACTTTATATAGTTTCTGTTTGCTTCTGTTTGCGTTTACTTGGAATACCTCTGCATATGGACCAAATCAAAGGGCACAGAAGAAAGGAGATATTATCCTTGGTGGTTTGTTCCCCATTCATTTTGGAGTGGCTGCTAAAGACCAGGATCTGAAATCTCGCCCAGAATCAGTTGAGTGCATAAGGTAAGCCCAAGCAAAAATGTGTAACTTACATTCACTTTGAAAACATTGTGTCCTTCTTGGTCAAATGTAACTCAAGAGTTAATTTGTAAAACATAGGACTGATCTTAATATTATTTAACAGCCTGATTCTACAAATACAGTGGTGCCTCACTTAGCGACGTTAATCCGTTCCGGAAAAATCACTGCTAAGCGATTTCGTCACTAAGCGATATTAAAAAGCCCATAGAAATGCATTGAAACCCCTTCAATGCGTTCCTATGGGCTTAAAAACTCACCTTAAAGCGAAAATCCTCCATAGTGCCGCCGTTTTCACTGCCTCTAAAGCGAGGAAAAACAGCAGGCAGCCATTTTGAAACCACTGATCAGCTGTTTAAAAAGGGTTGCTTTGCGATGATTGCTTCCCCGCGATCATCGCAAAGCGAAAAAACCCCATAGGGACCATCGCTAAGCGATCGCTTTTGCGATGGCAAAAAATTCATCACAAAGCGATTGCATCGCTCAACAGAGCGATCGCTAAACGAGGCACCACTGTATAACAAACACTTAACAATAGCTTCTCACTGCAGTTGACGCTGCTGCCTATCTTAAGATATGAACATACTATATTGAGTCAGACAATTGGCCAACCTAACCCAATGTTTTACATATCATTAATCTGAGGATAGCACTCATGAAATGTCACTGTCTGATGGTTTATATCACAGTAAACGTAATAATGATTTAAAATGTTATCCAACACTTATATTTTTGATGCAGTAGAGGTAGCCCCTTGGAATTAGCTCAGCAGTATCTTCTTACTAGCAGACATTCTGGAAGTTCTTGGGAAACCAGTGAGGAGAATTTGTGGTTTAACTGAGGAAGATGCCTGTTTCCCAAAAGTTGTTACAATTCCCTACTCTGAAGTTACTTCAAAACATCATGTATAATTTATATATTTTTAAAAATGCTGTAAAACAATTCCAGCTTGTGGTAACCCTGCCTAGGCAAAGGCTGTGGACCAAATAGAGCCACACCAAATGGCATGCCAGACCTCCTAGCAACCCTGTGTGCCCACTCCAGTCCACTCCCTTCAGACCACGTGGACAAGCCCTCAGTCTGTCCCTAGTATAGCCCCTGTGGATAGCACACTGATCTTGGATGAGGAATAGTCATTCACTCTCCCCTACACATTTTATGTGCAGCTTTTTGCACACAGAACCAGATAGCAAAAAGGAGTCCTGAGTGATCTTTAGTCCAACTGGCAATAGCATATGAAACATTTCTTAGGCATCCTACAGTCTTGAAATACCATGGTAACATTCTCTGTATGAGTGCCCTCTCCGGAGCACAAAGCCTGGGTAGAATAATATGGAGAGTAGGCTGTTACCCAAGCAGCAAATCCCCCTCTCCACGTCACTGAAATAGTCCAATGGAAAGGCAAGGGCCAATACAACTGGTTCCAGCGACGTCGCAGGAGTTGCCAGAATGACACAAACTGCCTCCAGGACTCTGGCTCCAGATTTTGCCTTGAGGTTTACTCCTGAAGCCTTTTGCATCCGTGGATATAGCCACAAGGCAGCGGAGGTTTAAAATTGGAGTGTTTCTTCTCCTAGTTGGGCTGCCTTCCAAGACTGATGAGCCCCACCTACCCGGTCCAGGTGGATCGCGTTTGCTCAGAACTCTCCACTATGACCTGTCTGTCTTGGGTGTCCCTGCATGGCATAGCCCATAGCTTCTCTGAATTACTCAAGCCCCTTCGCCATGACAAGGCAGCAATCTGTGAAGGGGGCCGCACAATCTATTAAAACACAAAAGAGTTCTAATTTTTTTTCCTCTTCAAGCTCATAAGAAGAATCATGAACTATACATAGATGATAGTTTGGCATACAGAGAAAATAACCAGCTAGTTGAAACATTTGTCTCTGAGGGAATGCTGAGGAAGTAGAAGGGTTGCAGGGAGATGTAAACTGTTACTGAGCAACTATTTCATTTATACCGTTTAGTTTCATTTCTACAGTCACAAGCATTACATATACAGTACATAATATATGAAGGAGGAAACAATTCTTTTTTATAAAGGAAAAGAGAACTAAGTAAAGTGGTCACTGTCACTGCAATGGTTAGAACTGTACATTTTCCACCACATTGGAAAAGAGATTTGGTACCTTCCTCTTCCAATGTATAGTGTTCCAATTCATAGGCTTAGCTTAGGCTGAAGTGAGGATCTTGGAGAGCCTACTCACTAGGGTGGTCACTTATTCATCACAAGCAAAGAGGACAGATTTCCCCAAAAGGAGGATATACACAGAGGATAAGGATAACTAGAAAGGAAGACATTCTTGAATTAAATTTGAATATATTAATTTAAGAATATTTGCAAATATTGTCATAAGTAAATATTATTATAAATTAAGTAGAAATATATCTCACCCTAATGCAGAAGACTCTGATCAGGTGACTGTTTTGGGCCCCAACACTGGGAGAAAGATTGGATGGAAGGAAGGAAGTCTTAATCCTTTGAAATTCATCTGTTGTCATTTGTTCAGTTCACTGAATATATATGGAAAATAAGTAATATTCTTTGTATGTAGTAATTTAATGGATATTAAACAATAAATTCCCACTACTATGCACTTGAAATGAATTATTTCCTGAAAAAAAGTAATTTATTTTAATTTGTAATACAGTACTTCTGAAATTCATTATTTTTTTAAAATAATTAGATCCAAGTGCCGTGGCATGACTTCCCAATAAGAGGAGGAAAAAAATTATTAGTTCCAGAAATTAGACATAGTTATTAATAGCTATTTTGGATTGTCACTCTGTCAGTTTAACTATCGTCCAGAAACAAAATGTTCATTTGAGTTATGAGTAAAGTATGCATTGCAAAGTTTCTGCAGTTTCCCAAGATGCCAGAGGCAGAGCACAATTATTTAATATTGTATCTACTTTGCTCCTGAAGAAAACAAAATGGACTGTGAATGTTATATTTCCAAAAATCTTGATGAAGATGTCAGAATATTCCATAATGATGTCCAGCATTTTTATATTGATCATGTAATCACATAATTCCTACGCCCCTCAGGCTGGGATGGATCCAGTATGGCAAGGAGGGGCATTTGAGCCACTCTTCCCCACATGGGACATCCTCTCAGGGAGCTTGGAATAAATGAAGATTGAGACTCCAAAATGCCTGACTCAGGAGGGCCTCAGTTCTTCACAAGAAATGGCAGCATATCCCATCATTGTCATACACAGAGGGTAGGGGGAGACTGACAAGTCGGTCACTTGATATTTGGATATGGTCCCTATGCTGCACTAGTACTATTTTGCTGTAACCAGTGAAGTTACAGCTGTTATTTGACTCACTTTTAAAATCAATTTTATGTGGAGTTTCTTTCCCATGCAACCTGATATGCCATCTCTGGCAACTATTATATTTGATTTTGCTAAATTGTTAATCGGATGTGACTGGACTGAAAACTGTAGATTGTGTGACACTTGTGACTTTTGTAAGGGAAAGAAGTTGTTGGAAACAGGAGTACCCTTTTATGACAGATCACCATCCTTTTCTTACCAAGTTGCAGCAGGGAAAAATCCCAGCCAATCAGGTTGGAGCAGGAGAATTCAAAAGGTGGATCTGACAGTTTAACTGCCAGGCAGAACTTTCCTACAGAAGTAGCTGATTAAGGGTTAATCTTCATATTTTCCTTAGGTTAAGGAAAGATCCTAGAAGAGGCTAAGGGTGATTGTTAAGTGCTAATAAAAGCAAAATAGTTTTCTAGAAGGAACTAGCTTTTTTGTTCAATAGTGCACAGTCTTTGTAGAGTTCTTGTTGTTACATTGAATCAACAAACCTGTTATAAAATAGGCATTTCTCATTAAGAGAGTAACCACCAAGTTTAATCCCTCTTTCAGAATTATATAACTAGAGTTTCAGTTCTGTTTTGTGCCTCAGTATACATTTACACCAGATCAGGAGATAATTTGTTTTAAAGGAACTTTGGAAATGTTAAATGGCATTGACTCTAATTTACGTGTTATATTATCAAAAATATAAAACATAATCATTTTATCAGAATAAGGGGAGGGTGTGTACATTTTGATAAGTTGCCGGTTCTTTTGCCTGCCAGCTACTTTGAGGAAGAGTCAAAGCCACCTTTACTCCTTAGTACCAACCCTGACCTATGTCCCTGCAAGTAGTTTGAGATTCGAGAAAGGGAAAGGTTGTGCAAGTCTCTACAGTAGACTAATTAATAGCAGCAGTATATGAGAAGGTTTTTGTGGTTTTGCCTGAGGGAAACTCTAGTTGATATATGAGGGAAAGGGCTGCCTAGAGTGCAAAGCAGTTTGGTGAATGGAGAAAGTACTGTTGATTTGCTGAGAGTTATCAGTACTTCAATTGATGGGGGCAGATGACAGACACAATATACAATTGTGGCCTGCATCCATACTGCAGGAATTTGTAAGAAGGGTATTAAAGAACAGAGCTCATGGTGTGTTGCCTAAGAGCTCATCCAGATGGAATATTAGTTGATATAAAAATACGTGGTTTGTTGCTGATAGTTTTGGTAATTTTTTTCTCCTTCCAGATGACAAAATGCCTGTCTCGGTAAAAACAAAAACAATCCTATCCCCTCTCCTCCTCCTTTTTTTGTACCTTTGTGAGCAAGAGAGAAAGGAAAGTGTGCCATCCCCTCAGCTGTCCAGAAGAGAGTTTAATGTAAAGGGAAGAGAGAGAATGGCTTAGAATTATCTCACCTTACACTCTGACAGCTGCTGCTAGTCCTATTATTAGATGATATTGAATGAAATGAAGCAATTATGTGAGCTGGTATCTGCAAGGAATCTATGTAGTGGTCCTGAGAATATAAGAAAAAGTTGAATTTGAATTTGGCAATAATGGGATCAAATGATAATCCCTGTAATGGTGAAGTACTCTTCTTAGCATTTCCCAGCAAGATTAAATTTACAAAAATTTATCATCCAGTCTCTTGCTCCAATCACAGTCTAACATTCTT